TCTTCTTGATCACCCTTTATAATTTTAGATCCACTCCCTTCTTTAATTAGGTTGAGAATCCAATGATGCATCCTTGTTCAGTAGTTTATGTGCGAGAATATTCTCTCAGGCTGCTTGAGTGCAGATTGTGCCAACTTCATTTCATATTTTCTCTGAGCTTCCCAGGTCTTAATTATACACTCATTTCTTACCCGCCTGTAGCGTTTCGTATTACTTGCTGTATCAAGGCTGATGGCAACGTTCCAACATTTCTTCTCTTTTCTTGGTAAACGTAGAATATCCTGGTCTATCCACGTATGACCGTGCTTCTACATTGGGACTGTCCAGGGTATAGATAGTTGAGTTACCCGATTGTATAACTCCCTGAAATGAGTCCATGCCTCTTGTACTGATGCCTTTAAGTCAATTATCCAGTCTTCAGGCGATGCTATAGAGTTGATCGCTTTCACCTCTGCCTCTCATATCTTAGGACAGGCCGGCACAACTGTTTGACAGGCCATCTCAGATATGAACATAAATATGATGAGTGTATGATCGCTTCCCCCTAAATGTGGTAGGAATGTCATTCAACTGACATCATCAGCGTGTGAAGATTGAGTCCAAGACAAATGAGGAACTTCTGTCATAGGGGTATGATTAAAGATGCCAGAGGCATTTGGAGTTTGACAACGCTTTATTAGTAACACCTAATACCCACCAAGTGAAATCGAAAGACAGAAGCGAAGAGGTTCGAAGATAGATTTGATAGGCTATTAGTATATGGAGGATCGACTGATCTAATCCGGCTAGCGACTGCAGGGGATGTTGAGCGCGGCGTTACCACTCGTGATCTGGTGCGGATGCATGACCGAGCGCCAACAGCTAGGTGAGGGGATTTATTTACTTCTATAGGATCTCTAATGTGCTTCAATAAAGCTAGTGCAATCAAGGTTTCTAACATTTTGCAATCGAATGACATTGTCTGTAAATCCATTCTGAATGTTTTGTGTGTGAGAATTCTTCCATTTATACACTTGTAGTTTATTCTAATTGATTCCTTTAGTTGTACATTTTGTTAGTCTTTTTTGATTCCATTTTAGTTGGTAATATTTTTATTTTATTATAGTTTTTACCTTTTTTACTTTTTCACTAATTTCTTCCTGAACTGAATTTATGTTGTTTGACTTGATACTTAGTCTTGGCGGCAGCCATATTGGTTTGTTCTTCTTTTTGATTGTGTTGCTTGGATTGACTGGAATATTGCATTTTTGATTATGAATTGAAGCACCGTTCCATAGTTGGGAGCACTCTGTGTTATACAGCAACCAAATATATTTTGGACGAATCTGTGCGTGATCTATCTAGACAGGATAGAATATCATTTATTTGTTGCGATTGGTAATTTTCCCGCATCCTTCATCAACTTTGTTTATTGCAATTTAGATTTGATTAATTGAACAACTATTGGCTGAATAGCTGGGTGGTCATACTTGTTTAAGTAAAAACGTACATTTAAATTTATAATGAATTTCAGAACAGTCATTTAACTCAACCACCTTGTTTTGGTTTCGACCGGGCAAGGGCGCGTATCTAACCCACATAGACAGTTATTCTTCCGTCCAAACCTTAGTTTGGATCTAACATTGTCGATGACCCTACTTTTAAGTTTACTCTGTTTACATACGGTACATTAAAGTCGCCTACTACAAGGGTTTTACCCTTGTTACACCAGGACTTGAATTTACTTAGGAGGAAGTAATCTACAACACATTGTGGACCGCGATATACTACAACTTATTCAATATCTTGCCGTCTACATTTCGGCTTAAATTGCACCAGTTTACATATCCCTGAATCATGTGTCACTGTCTCAGCTGCTCTTATGGTCAGGGTACTTTTCGTGAACAGGATAACCCCGCCTCCACTGCTGTTTATTCTATCAGCCGTACTGGATACAAAACCAGTCAAGTGAATTTCATTATCTAATACTTCTGACGTTAACAAAATTTATGGGACAGCAATGATATCCGGCTTTTCTTTATCTACCATTGACTTGAGCTCCGTCATTTTATTTAGTATGCTGCGAGCATTTGTGTAGCATACCTTCAAGTCTGTAGAGAACTTTTTCTTCCCACCCAGAGTGGTTTGGGGATCGTTTTGCTCCGAACGTTTAGAATTCGGAAACTCTTAAGTACTAGGTTTCTTCCACCGTTTCGGCAACACTCATTTATTTCCACTTCTGTAGCTCGTCTCTTAATACGACCAGCTAAGCTGAGATCCTCACGTAAGTATATTCTGGATCCAATCAGTTTACGTGAATTACCTAGAATCAGGTTTCTTTCTTCAACCGGGGCAAATGTAACTTTCAAGAGGCGGTTTTCCTGAGGACTTTCAGAATCCACCTTTTGTCCTATTCCATAAAGCTTACAGATGCTAACCTCTGAAACTGTATCTGGGAATAGTTTGCTTATTAAGGACTAAATATGACTGAGGTGGTGTTCAAGTTTAGCCTTTGGTTCCTTATCGGAAGATTCTCTTAACTTATGAAAAATGACTGATCTCTAAGAGAGGTCTGTCTTGACACGCAGTGGAATTTTCGATTCTGGTACCGTCTCTTCCAATGACTCGATAACCAGCTGCGTTTTGCCCACAGATTTTTTCTCCTCATTTCTCTCTCGCCGTACTGACGTCCATTTATCATCATTCGGGACAGCCACACAGGGACTATTTGGAACGATGACAGTTTTATCGGAATCTCCAATTTTCACAAGAGGTGTATGGTTACCAATGGTAATGTCAAGCGGCACTTCACTCCTCGTTAATGTTAACAGAGATTTCACTTTTCGGTCAATCACGATCGGGTGTTCAACGGGTCTGGTAGCAGTACGCACAACTACCATCGTTTTTCTTACAGGCCAAAGCCAATAAGCCCATAGCCTCCTGGATTAGTAACTTCTTATTTGTACTGCAAAACATACAAAGCCAATGCAAGTTAGGCTTCGAGCATCTTTTATATGCCGTCGGACTTAGACGTGTACACATCTTATAGTACCGCTTTTTACATTCATCGCATTGCCTTCCTTCCTCAACGGCGAACAAGCAGTTTGGTTGTCCACATTATTAGTTTGACTAACCATTGTAATTTGATTAAAAAGGTTTAAAACACAATATTATCACAATGTGGACACGAGTGTCAGTCAATGAGTAAAAAAGTACCACAGGACAAAGTTTAGCAAAAATTTCAAACGTTAACCGAAGTACTTTTAGTTAAAGTAGACCAAGAATGCTTTTGGGTGCAACAAGTACACAAAGCAAGGATAATTACAGCAAGTACAAAAATCACTGCCCTTTTCGAAACGAGTGCCAGTTCTAAGATCCCTTTTCTTTTTCAGTTATATAGATGATCTTAAATAAATATTACTTTAGTTATTACAGCCCGCTGAAGATCTCGATCTTTATAGAGAAGCCTCTAGCCAGAATGATAATCTGAAACAACAGCACTATCTGATGTGACTACAATGCGGTCGTCTTCAACACTTTGAAGTAAAGTGGTACAGCCTAGGTATGCTAGAAACAACACATAAGATTCAGGCAATTCCCATTTAGAGATGTCCGAACTGATTTCGTGGTTCGCCGTTGGATACGCTCCATAGTGTCTTTATCCTTTTGGAGTGAATGGGGAAGTACTATGTTTCCGTATTCTAAATGGGGATGGATAAAACTATTGAAGATTATATGGAAAGTTCTTCCGTCGAACTGTCCGAAAATGCGTTTCAATGTTACCAGTGCAAGGTTTGCTCGGAAGACATTTTTGTCACAGTTAGCTTAAGACTTTAAATCATGGGGCACCAGGACTCCTAAATCCTTTTCGACTTGGGATACTACTAGAGAGGAGTTTCCTAAGTTGTAACTGTAGTCTGCGACATGTCGTAGATGGACTACTTTACACTTTGAAGTGTTGAAAGTAAGCCCATTATTATCTGCCCAACTTTGGGGTCAAGTCAGATCCTCTCGAAGTGCCTGTATATCGTCTTGAATGCGTATCTCTCTTCAAAGCATGTGGGTGATCCACTGCTACTAGATTTTAAAGCTCTTCAAGTAAAACCTCTTCCGTCCGAAATCTGAATCGTTTGGAAATTTAAAATTTACTGACCAGTATTAGTCGCAATTATTCACTATGAGGCTCATAAATCCCAGAATACCAGCGGTTTGTTACGAACTTAATATTCCTCAGTTGCGCAGTTAATTATTCAAATTTATATTGAGGTATGATTTTTCGTTGACATCAACAATACTGACGGTTCTTCTACTAATCTATTCAGCCAGTAACCTGTACGATGACTTTGTACATCCGAAGTGTTACATCTAAACTAGAAACGTAGTTTTACCCTCAATGGGTGGTGCACTTCAACTTGTTCTGAAGGGGGGCATTCAAATTTGTTAACAACATACATTCCTTACAAACAGGGAGCGTAAAACCATTCCTAAAAGATAGACTTAACCAATCGATTTAAACAGGCACACTAATGAAAAATGGCAACTCATGAATATTAGTTAAGTTGAAAATCTGTTGCTACATGTACAGTCATTTAACTGGTTTTCACATATACATACATACGGATAGGGATATGGCAAGTCACAATCATATCTCTCTAATCTTTCTGTACTTCACAGGCAGATATTTTGGAATCTTTAGAAAAGCTGTTGTGAACCTTACCTTTGGTCCAAGAACCTTTAAGTGCCCTTTTCTTTAAATATATTCCAAAGGAACAATGAAGTACTTATCACTTAAGGAATGGTGCTACAATAAAAACAATCTGGTGAAGCCAAGTGCCTTACATTGTTTTATTAAGTGGCAAAGGCAACCATAAACCTCTCCTTAGCACAAGCAGTCGCGTAATAATAAATTAACCAAGTTAAACTAGATTGTAACAGCGATATTGCATTGTGTATTGATCCAATTCAAATAGCGCTCTCAAAGCTTCGGGCGCTGTAAACAAGTGTAGTTCTTTTACCACGAAATGGCAAAGTCGAGCGCAAAACCGCGTACCAACTTAACAGAGGAAGAACTTTATGAGATAGAGAAACAAGAGTTTGAAACTGGTCCTCTTTCTGTGCTGACAAATGCAGTTAAGAACAATACCCAGGTAAGGTATTTTTCTATTAAGTTGATAGTTCATTTAGTCACCAGCATATTTTTGACTTAAATTGTCAAGTATTAGTGAATGCCGAATCCTTTATTTAACAGAGGATGTTCGCGTCTTATTGTCCATAATTTCCGTTCCAAAAACGACTGTAATCTTTGTGCTGGCGAACCTTGTAGGAAATGTTTTCTCTGTTATTCTCTGGCTAGAATTTTCCATCCACAGTAAAAAAGCTATTCTTCAGGTATTCTATTCCATTCTATAACTTGCGAAATACTATAACAAGCTTCAGTTAGCGAGGAGAATCGCAGACGTGGTCTGAAACAGATTTTTAAAGGATATTCTTTCATTCTCAGTCTCTATTAGTAGGGTCAGCTTTATATTCCCAACACCATGAAGTTTGTGACAGTTTCCCAAATTCTGTTATTTTACCACTAACGCTTTTGGTAGCAACCAGAACTAACTAATCAGCAAATTACTATCATGCTCTTTTGTGCAAAAATAAAGTGCTACAGTCGATTCGTGCGTCCATAATTTATGGACAATCCCTGTACAGCACTAAAATAACCTTTGAGTGTCTACCTACCTACTAGGGATAAATGAGGGTTACTGATTTGTGTGAGGAATTAAAATTAGGATTTACAGTTGAACGTTAGGGATAAAATTTAACGTTTTCGTCACGAGGTGACATCAGCCAGTGTCAAAATGATGCTAGGTAAGTGAGTGAGTAAATTTTGCTCATCAAATCAAGACTTTTTGTTTCGTCCATACTTTATAGCCTCGTCATAAATCCGAATTCTTGGTTTTCGTGCTGACATTTAAGAAGTGGCGATGGTCGTTCATGTGGTCAGTCGGCTTTATTTAACATGAAACCTAGCACATGTAGATCGATTAAGGATATCACACCGCACTAGAACAGCTAAGTGAAATTTTCAAAACGAATATCAAAGTAGTAGAAATGGTGGGAGTATCACTAATAGTAAGAATGGCTACGTACAGAAATAAATCCTCGTTATGCTTCTTAGGCCAGATTGTAGACTTTGATTTTTTTGCCTAGAGACAAACTTTTAGATCACTGTAGCTCGTAAGTGTTGTGTTGGTGGTCTGTCCCAGGGTAACACTTGAAGGCTCAACTACTAGATTTTTTCGACTAGAATGAAGTAGGGTTTTTTGTCTGACCATTTGTTTTGACCCTTATCGAAACTAGTCATCCAACAAACCTTGACAAGGATGTCGTGCAAGTGTGTTATATCTTTGAGACAGGAACATGTATTTACGTTGCACCCTGAATTGGTCCAAGTCACCACTTCTCAATAAAATCAAGGATAATTCATATTCCGGATCGCGTGCTACATACTCCATCATCAGGTTGCCACCAGCAGAATTTGTAGCCGTAACGACTCGTTATTGTTGTTTTACATTCCATAGCTTTATTTTAAATCATGTGAATAAAATAGGATTGATTTCAGTCTGACAGCATCATGTAAAGCAGTACTTTAGTTGTATTTTCATCCAGGCTTTCTTCAGTCTGAAGTAAAATTACATAAAAGTTTCAGTATTACCAAACCTCATCATAGTAGATACGAATTACTGTTGCGTGATAAAGATATACTCGAATCTATATTTGACTTTATTATCGAACTATGTCGCTCAACAATTAAACACTCAATTCTCACGATCACACTTGGATATTGCTACAGCTGTGCAGATTCTAGCAACCCATTATTATCACAGTACTTCGTAACATGTCATTTATGACCAGAGACACTAACCTAAACGTGATCATTGAGTACACCGTCATTATTCCATGTTTACAGAATTTTCAGATTTTTGGCAATTTTCGAAAATGCCGATATGTTTAATAGCTGTGGTGATCTGTCGCTAAACTTTTATCATGATTTTAACGTGAAAATGCAATTATTCCCGTTGTTTAAAAGTAATGACGTTCAGATAATGAAAATAACCTTTGAGGCGTACTTAGTACCTATCAAAGTGTACCGTATCTGGAACCCGGGGCGCATTGTACTATGTATTAAATAGTTAGAGATAATGTGCTCGTTGATAATTGTAATTTAAATTTTAAAAATCTCTACCGCTTGACAAACAAATATAAGATAACTAATGAATATTGTGCGATTAACATTACAAACGAGGGGTGTTTTATTGTTCGATGTAAGTTTTAAGACTGTTGGTTTTAAGGGCAGAATTTCATACTGCAGGTGCACTAGCCATCGTAAGCTTTTTCCGGACTTTCTTCTTAATAAGTCCACTATGAATAAGTACCAAAGAGTAGTCATAATATGTGAATCTATTTATATTTATATAGGTACTAATCAATTGCCGAAACAATAAAAAACTCTTAGCTAGAGTAAAAGCATTCGACAGGCATTGCAATATGGTATTAGAAAATGTCAAAGAAATGTGGACTGAAGTGCCTCGGCCAGGCAAAGGTAAAAAGAAGTCCAAACCGGTAAACAAGGATAGATTCATCAGTAAATTGTTTTTACGTGGTGATTCCGTTATTCTTGTTCTTCGCAACCCTCTGGCTACTGCTGCAGCTGCTCCTAGACCATAAGTATTCCCTCGTATCCATCCTGTAATTCTGATATGTTGTTTTATAAATAAATTTGAACTGATGTCCTCTCATTTTTTTTAAAGCATTCTTCGTTCTCAGTCTACTGAAAGTTCAGTTCAGGTAACTGAGTGGCAGAAAGTCGAAACCTCTTGTCTATCATGGGATTCCTCTAAGCAACTCATGCATATCTTAGTGTTCTTACCTGCCAAACTAGTCGTGTGCTAGGTAGATTAAAACTGGTCATAACTTAGTTGATTTATTATAAAAAACTTCTACAGTCTCATGTGATTTAAGATAAACTGTTAAACTTAAGTTAATAAAAGTTTGTCATATCAATAAAAGTAAAGCATAGTTCCTAAAGTGCTATACCTAATACCACATGTGATCCTGTGCTTACAATTTTCAATTTGTAAAATTCTGACCCTACCACTACTAGTATAATAAGTCACCTGTGATCCGTTAGTCGGCCAACCAGTGGTAAGTTCAATTCAGCTACAGTCAAATCTGAATATAATAAGATGTTTGGAAAAGACACATAATTGTGATCCTCCTTAATTATGTCAAGCCGTCTATATCCATGTAACTTTTTGTTATTATAATTCCTTCAATCTAAACAATAAAAGTTCTATTACACTTGAATTCTGGCAAGGCATTCGAGTTCTTATTACTCCTTTGTTATTAGGTAACTAAAAGTACATAGTCGCATCATGAGACTTATTGTACTAATCAATATTAATACTATTGTGAGGAGATTCTATGTTATCTTAGGTGATTTAAAACTAATTGTACCTGAAGTTGATGTTGTAAAATATAATATTTATTTATTTATTTAAACATGAACAATTTGTGTGAGGACTGGGATACTGCCCGGGTGCCCAAACCGAAGCAGGTGGTTTTCGTAGGGGTCACACCCACAGCCTTTGATCTAAAGGTCTGATCTACAAGGCAGTGGAGCAACGTCAGGAGATGCAGTCCCATGGCAGTCGGTGACCAACAGTAGGTTCATAAGCCATTTGTTCCCTCAGGATACTGGAGCCCATGTGCACCATTGGTTTAGAATCAGGGTTTCCCAATCCCCCTAGACGGATCCTCCATATTCACCAACCCGGTTAAAGCGTCGAACATTCGCTTCCCATCCTTTCAATTTAGTAAACAACACCCCCGCCGCAAGAAGGCAGTGAGTAGGACTTCCCTGGCAGTGGTTGTATGCACGTGGCCATGTGAGAGCATTTGGAAAGGGAGAACTGACTCTACCCACTCTCTTTGCCTTATCAAGGCACTTGGGAACTAATGTAATCATCTACTATTAAAAACACCAATCTCATTCAAAATCTCCATTGTTTTTATTCATTGATTCAGACCAATAGGAAGTTTTTTCTTCTTATAATTACTAGTTTCTTACCATTAAAACAATGGAAATCAAGCTTGTAAGCAATTGATGAAACTTCATCAGTTGAGATGGCTGGGACACGTGTTACGTATGCCCAACGACCGACTGACTCGACGTGCGATGTTCAGTGGTATAGGAGTAGGTTGGGAGAAAGCTAGGGGCGGCCAGACCAAAACATGGCACAAGTCCATGAAGGCACTGACAAATGGACTGAGTCATGTTGGTAGGTGTAGACTACCTGGTTGGGATTTGTGAGATGATAGCAACCGATGGTTAAAGACCCTGAATGACATGGCTCAAAATCGTTTGCAATGGCGCAGGTGCATTCACTCTTTGTGTTCTCCCAAATTTTAATCTGATTCCTCCTTGTCTCTTTTTTCTTCCAAATTTATTTCACTGGGTTTTACTCTTTAAATAACGTCTTCGAACCCTAATCTTCCCTATTACTGCTTATACTCTCACTACCTCTACCACTACGGGAATTTGATCGACAACTGCATCTCTGTGCTAATGTGGTATGGCAACTCGGACTAATGTACGTACGTACAGAGCTCTACGTTGTTACTGATTGACTGACTGACATGTTCTCACATGAGATCTATATTATTGAGATTCAATTCATCAAAGTGTAAATAGTCACATTATAGATGAACAATTAACAACAATGTTAATGATGTTTTTGTTATGTAAATTTTACCAAATAACAAAATGAATAAACTAATCAAGCAGAAATAAGCTTAGATAAAAATACAAAATTAATTATCTTTCTGCATTATTCATACGTACTATTTCATTTTTGCTTTAACTATGAAGATGAAATAAAAATAATAAGATATGGAAATAAGAGTTGAAAAATACAGAAAGCTGAAAAAAAACAACAACACTAAGACCTTTTCATTAGAAAGTAATGGGTTATATTGTGGTCGGCTCTGTTTTCTTTCATATTTGAGCGAGTACAAATCTCTATGTACATATTGAATGTAAACATTCATCAATAAAATATTATGTTATACAGACTATTAAAAGCTAAACCGTCTTCAAATGCATCTGACCATCACTATCATTATCAGTGCAATATATATATATTATAAAATACATAAGTGAAGAAAACTGTTAAGTGATGACATTGAAAGAACAAAAGAAGGCGGGAAATGTGAATTTATATCTGTGTTATATATATGTGCGACAAGCTAAACGATTGAAACAATAATTAATGATGAGAAGTAATTAATTAATTAATTAACCAGAATAATGAAACACAATGCTCAAGTATGTTTTACTTAGTAGAGGAAGTAAACTAAAGAAAATTATGCACATTTTTGAAATGTTTCTTTGTTTTGACAATGAATGTTATCATCAGTATCATTATTATTACTCTGACTAATATCAGTAGTTAGTATTCTTGAGTTGAATTTTATATTTAAGCGAATGTTATAAGTGGTACATTAGTTTGTTGTTTTGGTGGTGATGTTGGCTCTTGTTGTTGTGATGATGTATCTGAATTCGGTGATGATAACTTGTTATGAATGCTGTCATTATTATCTAACGGAATAGTACTAACAGATGTTGTTTGTAATGTTGGATTTGTACAATTTTCTACCGTACCTACTACTTGTTCATTTGATTTAACATTCACTAAGGAGACAATACTACTGTTATTGTTATCATTATTATTATTATTATTATCAATACGATTGCTGGTCATTGAAGCTGACGATGTTGAATTGCAGCACATATTAGTGTGACAATCAGTTACTATTGTTGATAGTTTCTCAGTAGTAGGTTGGGTAGATAAAATTAGCCGATCTGTAATGTTACAGTGTTGATCTAAAGCTAAATTACTTTGAGAATTTGAATTGTTTCTGTTTAAATCATTATTATTAAAATGAATATGATTGATATTGTCATGATTATCAATTAATGATAATGATGATAAACATGGTACTAGTTTTGTTGTTTCTGTAGGTGATGATGGTGTTGATGCTGATGATAATCCAAGTTCAAGGAATCGTTCACGTTTAAATACACTTAGTGTACCTTTAGCTTTATTTTCGTTTACACTAAATAAAGAAAAGACATTAAAAATGGAATTTATTTTAGTTTAATATTTACTTAATTTCATACACATATTATTATTAATCAAACAACCAATATCTACTAACTGAAAACTCTTAATGCTATGTGGATAATCAATCATTCATTAAGAAATTATTTATTAAACTTTCAGTTAATTTATCATATATAGTCAACATAGAGCCTGGTATAAATGTGTGTTCGCTCGAGTTATCATACCGCATTAATATGATAAGATGAATTGAAAAAAAGTCAACATGATTTGAACAAATGTAACTTAAAGGTATATATAAATAATCTGCAAAAGATGCAGATGAGGGTGAAGTGAGAATATATCTACCGCCATTATGACAGATTCCAAGTTATGTCACAGAGGTATGCATTAACTGCTTCCATAAGTCAGAACTACGGAATGAATTTTTATTTTTTCTGGCTAGCGTTTTTTTAGCGAGTTACTTTTCTACGGGAGGTTCAGATGCAGACGTAAATGCGAAGGTTGGTAAAGCAATGGCCGCATTCGTACAATTGAAGAACATATGGAACTCAAAACAACTTTCAACAAATATCAAAGTCATAATCTTCAATACGAACGTCAACACAGGCAGTTCTACTATATGGAGATGAAACTTGGAGAACTACTACAACCATCATCAAGAAGTATTTAGAAATATCTGTCCACGCAAGATACTCAACATCCATATGAATACAGTGGTCTTGAATGCTGTTAGAGCTATCAGGGCGGTTATCACTTCCCGGCTGCCCACACCATGGAAGGGTTGTTCTGGAGGTGCCCGAAAAGGAAATTTGATTAGAGGTGGTCTTAGTGACCTGGGAGCGTGACTGCAGTGCCCAATGGAAAACTGCTTGAGGCCGGTCACACGACCTTTTTATGGGTAATTTTCGTGTTAGCTCCGTACTTGTTGAGACCTTACCGCCGGAGACGGATATCGGTGGGATAAGGCGAGGCGTGCATTTTTAGGGTCGACCTTTTCTAACCCCACCCCTCCTTCTGAAAAGGCAGCATCGCTGTAGATGTTGGTTGTCCGTGGGAAGCACCTTACTGCCGTCACACCCCTCTACAGTGAGCAGTACGACTTCGCCTTCGGACCTTGAGCTTGTTGCTTTTAGTCTTACCGCTCTCCAATTGACCTGTCTGACATGGTAGGACCTTGAGGAACGGTTGTTCCAGCCAGTATAGCTCGGTTGCTTCATCACGATAGGCAAGCCCGACCACCACGTCGAGGTAGCAGCAACGGTCGGGACTCAACATCCATGGGCCGGATACCATCAGAAACAGCCTTCTGGGGGAGAGAACATACCAACTTCCACTTAAAGAGAAATTAGGAAAACACGACGGAGTTGGTGGTTAGGATATACATTATACAAATCATCAAAGCGCATCACGAGGCAAGCCTTAACTTGGAATCCTGAAGGGAAGCGGAAAAGAGGAAGGTTAGAGAACACATTACGTCAGGAAATAGAATCAGATATGAAAAGGATGAATAACAACTGGAAGGAGCTAGAAAGAATTGTCCAG